ATTTTGATGAGGAGGTGATAATGCTCAGTGCTCGGCCTCCCCAGGGAGCCGTAGCACTCGCCATTTGCTTTGCCTTTTTAGTTTTTATAGGCCTCGGGAATGAAGACTGAGGTTTTAAGGCAGCAAAGCATCCATTAGGAAGTGCTTACGGTGACCTTGGAGACTGAGTCAGTTCTTTGGCACCGCCTGAAAGCAGGCATGTGTTGTTTTTCTTGAGGGCTGGAGGTGGGATGCAGTTTCTGTGTCTCCTGTCAGATTTGCTCCCCGAATCCGGCTGCTGGGAAAGCTGAGCTCGCGCCTCGTGCTCATTCATTCTTGCACGTTTCTGTTCCCAAGGGACGAGAGCCCTGAACTCCCCCGGACCTCACATTTCCCACGCTGATGTTCACCTGTGCCTTCTGCAGGTGCAAGTGTTGCCCTCCCAGCCAGTCGTGCCCTGGTTACACCCATGGGCAAACACCTCCGGAGGCATTTGGCGGATCAGGTTTCCCAGCACAGACCTGAAGTGGTGGGATGACATTTACTTTCCAGGCAAGCCGTGCCCCGAGGCATCTCCTGACACCGGGATTTCGTAACACACGGCCTGTGCTTTCCTTTATGCTGGCAGGGTGTGAAGGCAAGGCTGGACATCCCCCTCACACACAAATAGCTTCACCTGGCAGAAAGGTCGCTGTCAGGGAGAACAAGAGCTTATTTGTTCCCTGGAGCCCCCTCAGAGAATGAATCTGTTCGTGCTGGGGGAGCAGAGGCACAGACTGCAGCAGGCGCTCGCAGCCACTCTTCACAGGCATTTATTGGCCCGAGGACAGTCTCAAAATCGATGCCCATCGTTGCCCACACGCCCCTGCCCAACCTTGTTCCTTTCTGCAAGGCTCTTGAGGCAGCCTGGGCAGAGCACTGGGCTATTCCCAGCATCAGAGCTGGCCGGGGTGTGTCACGTCCTTCCCCAGAACCCCCGGAGCTCTGCAGTCTGTTTTCCCTCTGCGTGTCATGGTGATGGTGGAGTGAAGGATGGGGGATTTCCCCCATGGCAGCCTTGCAAGCACAGTTTGCCTTAGAGAGCCAGAGCCTCGCTCTGCTGAGGCGCTGGCAGGTGACAGCCATGCCAGCAGCCTGCCAGGCTGTGCCAAGGGAAATGCTCTCCTCCCCTTCTCTCATGGGTTTTCACTTCAGCAGACAGGCTCCCTGTGCCTGCCAGCCCATTCCCCCAGGCCTTCTCCTCCTCCTCCCTGCACCGTGACTGCTGTGGGTTGGGGATCCAGAGAGGTTTCCTTCAGTGGCTTTTCATCACCATTTCTGAAGCCAGTTCTTGGCACTTAGGGATTTAGTGCAACATAAAGAGCTTTCAAAAATGTTTTCCACTTCTAGAACCAGATCTATCTTTAGTTCACTCCACTCTGGAACTGGCAGTGGTTGGGTTCCAGCAGGACAGGTACAGCTGCTCCTACAGGATCCTCTGCAGCCAACAGCAAACTCTGTGCTGTGCTGGAAATGCATCAGACCCTCCATTGACACTGCCTGGTGCACCCCTAGACCAGCCCCAAACTGCCCTGCAGCCCCCCCTAGGGTGGCATTGTCATCTGTGCCCCAGACTCCCCCCACGTCCCTGCTCCTTCCCAGAGCACTGCGGGGCTGTGACCTGCATGGCAATGACAGAGGCACCAGTGGTGAGTGGCAGTTTGTAAATTCAGAGGGTATCTCACAGTCTGTCACAGGCTCTGCTACTCTCTAGGGCCTAGGAGTCCTGCAGTTTTCCCTCCTCCCTTGTGAGCAATTTGTTTTTACTGACAGGCAACTATTGACTTCTCATTCTCCTGAAGATGAGATGTCTTGTCTCATCAGGTTTAAATTAGTTTTATCTTTAGCCTTTCCTATTAATAAGCTCTCATCGTGGTGTCATTACTTGATATCTATTTTCTGATGTTTTTCATTAACAGCTCTATATCTTCCAGATATTTTTTCAAGTATTTTTTTCCCCTGCTACTGAGTTATTTAACAGTCAGGCACAGATCAGAGGCGTGAAGATGGTCTGATGCTGGTCAGGGACAGTGTGGAATGGCTCAGTGACTGTTGGGTGAGTTGGGCTGTGGCCAGGCTGCACTGGGGCTGTCAGGGACCACCACTCCCTCCCTTCCTGTCTCTCTGCATCCCTCTGATCCCAGGCTGAGCTCTGACATGCCTGAGGCTCTCAGGAGCACGAGTCAATAGAGTAATTAATATGCCTCCTGTGAGGCGAAGGTGCCGCAATTCCTTTGGACAGCTGTATCTGTGAAAAACAGAGGACTGCTTCCCATGCTTTGTGTGCCTGGCAGGGGGTCTTCCCCATGAGCAGAACTTCCGCTGGGAAATGTAAAAGGGAATTATTTCACATTATTTCCCTGTTCCTGCTGGGTCAGAGCCACCTTCCCAGGCAGCCAGACTGGGGGAGCTGCCACTGCCAGCAGGAACATGGAGCAAGCAGAGCTGCCAGCCTGGGGACAGGCAGGGCCAGGTCAGCCCAGGGATCCCACGTGTCTCACATGTGGGAATTACAGAGAGGCTGCAGGACCAGTGATCTGCAGCAGAGCCTCCAGCACAGGGCTGAGGGTGATTAATATTCAGTGCACTGCTGTGAAAATGAACAGCCAGACAGGACTGTCCTCCTCCCCTTCCTGCATCCATGAGGGCAGTGAGGGGAATGTCTGGAGCACAAGAATGCAAGATTCACTTCTGATCAGGCTGATACAGGATTTTGAGACTAAACAAGATGCTTCATTCTCTTTTGGGTTATTTAGTGTCTTTTAATCTGTTTCTCCCTTTTTTATTCTATTACAGGAAGTTTGAAAAAGAATAGTAGGAGGTCTTGGTTGAAGCTATGAGAACCAAACAGGAGGCATTTTCAAAACCAGTTGCTCTCAAAAAAAGGGAAATTTTCTGATGTTTCATAAAAAAGGATTCGTCCCATAATTTCTTATCAAAACCGTGGCGAAAAGCCCTTTTACTGTTGGCAGGAAAGCTTTATCCCCATCCCATGCTCAGCATGGCAGAAGCAGTGGCAACACTAACAGCACCCAGGATGCTCCAGACAGTGGGCAGGTGCCCTGGGACTTGGGAGACAAAACTCCCACAGCTGGTGACATCCTCAGTGCTCGTCCTGCCCAGCCACTGCCCCTTGCTTGGCATCTGCCCTGCCTGGGGATGGCTCCTCCATCTTCCCAGGGCTCCTTTCTTCCCGTGTTGGATGGAGAAGCTTGGAATAGGCTCAGACCAGCTGATCCTGTGTCCTTCCAGCAGTGGGCTGAGCTGGGGCTGAGAGCTCTCTGTCACCAAAGCAGCTGACAACAGAGAAAAGCAGAGCCACAGGCGCAGCCAAAGCCATTGTTTGCCTTCAGGGCTTTGGTTCTGCACTGACCTGGGCCAAGGCAAACCCTGGCTGGTGGCCCCAGCCCTCAGGTGGTTGTTCTGTTGTGCAACCAGCAGCAGGGAGCTCGGGGTGGCTGCTGCAAAGTGATCCCTGTGGGCAAACACAGCTTGGGGTGCTCTGGGCAGGACAGCTGGCACCACTCAGAGCTGTGCTTGGACAGGCACCACCAGCCCCGAGCCAGGCTCCAGCCACGGGGCTCTGCCACAGGTCCCTGCAACGTCCCATCCACCAGCCCTTCCAAATATCCCAGCCACTGCAGGAGGACTTAGTGGGGTTTAAAGGAACCTCCAGGTGCCCCCAACCCCAGGAAAAAAAAACCCTCTGTGCCCTTGCAGCCAGAACTTGCAGAGATCTGGTGTGTTCCAAAGTCACCTGTCCTGGTACACTGGGGCCAGGTAGTGCCAGCAACAGGGACATCTCCTGTGGCACTATTTTTTATTAATATTGGTGGGTCAGACTGGTGTGGGTGCTGCCATTGGCTCTGCAGGTCTCATGATGACTGATGGCTGCTCACCCCTCCCTCTGTGACATTGGGATCCAGCCCAATGGCACCGCACCTGGAAGGGTTTGGGGTTTGGCATTTTGTCTCTAAGGTTACTGAGGGAACATTTACACCTCTCTTTGCAATCATTCACAGCCAGTGAGCCTGGGATGGGAGTTGGCACAGTTCCTTCAGCCTCCTCCTTCTGTTTCCTTAGGAACTGGAAACCAAAGGTGCCCAACGAGGCGTTATGGATTCAATAGCTTGGGCCAAGGCACTGCCACCCCTCCTGTCCTCCCCCTCACAGCCATTCAAGGGCACCCAGAATCTGCTCTTCATCTTCCTGCCCTGAGCACATGCGGCTCATTGGCATCACGATCCATTTCCTGGAGCCCACACCGTGTTGTGTTGGTGTTACTGCAACCAGAATGAAAGGCAGGGGGGATGCACCCTGTGCAGCCCAGTCACATCTCCTGATGGCCACATCTCCTGATGGCCACATCTCCTGATGGCCACATCTCAGTAGCATTGCCATCTCTGTGATTATCTGGCAGGGCAGGGCTGACACGGGGCTGCTCAGGGTATCTCTTGCTCACAGGCTGCCACGGTGAGATAAATGGAGTGAGGAGCAGCAGGAGAGGCTGGGCTGAGATCCCAGTGACACCTCAGTCACCCCATCACCTTGGGAAAAGAACGGCGGGAACCTCCAGGGTTTTTAGAGGAACTTTTAGCTGCGAGCAGGAGCCCTGGCCATGGGAATGAGGCACCAGGGAGGTGCAAACCCACGACCAACGGCATCAGGACTCCCCATGGGATGGGGCCCTGGAGGTCTGGGCAGGACCATGATGGGCAGAGGGAGAGAAGGGTGTTGGTGCTGCCCACCAGGGATGGTGGTGGTCACACATGGTGCTGTGCCAGAGGATCCAGAGGCTGCAGGGCTCAGGAATCTGGCCCCAGCCCCAGCAGCTCTTGCCATGCAGCCATTCTGCTCTGGGACTATGGCACAGCCAGCCCCAGGATGAGGTTTGATGCCACTGCAGCTGGGGGTGAGCTCCTGTGCCTGAGAACTTGCAGGCTACTGCTGCCTGCTCACCCAGCGGTCCTGAGGGTCCCAGCCCCAGCCAGACAGGGAGCTGCCTCGATGGGGCACCAGGGATGTGTTTGTTCATGTCAAACAGCTCCCAGCTCTCTGGCAACAGGCTGGGAAGCAGGAACAGGCACTGAAAGAACCAGCAGCTCAGGGACAGGGGCAGAATAAATCTGCATAAATACAAATGAGGGGAATATTTATTTCCCACATTGACCACATTTCTGTAGGTACTTTAGGCTGTGAGAAGGGGGGCTCCAGCAGCCTGGGCAGGGCTTGGGCTCGACTCAGGCCTAGCTCTGGGGCTGGAGCCGCTTGTGATTCCCCACCTTCCCAGCAGACTCACCTATTCAATATTCCTCGCATGTGAGTTACTCCTGTAGCTGATGGGAGAGATAAATAACAAAACCCTTACAAATGCAAAAATGCTTTGGCAGTTCGGAAAGGAACCAAGTCACGTGCTGAATGCAGATGAAGAAAAATCCTTTTTATTGTAAGGAGTAACAGAAGGGTGGGAATCAGCCTCAAATCCACCTCACCCACAATGCAGCACATCCAAATCCACTCGGAGATTACAAGGCAGGATAGCGTTCGCTCTGATCAGTTCAAAGCGTCGCTGTTTGGGAACAAATCGGCTGAGTGTGCGCCTGGATTAGACCGGGGGCCTTTTTGCCTCTTGAAATCACTGGAAACAGCAAAATTCCCTTTTGAAATGGTAAGCTAATCAAGCAGCAGAAGGAGAGCAAAGACAAAGCTTTTACAGCTTTTAGGTTCGGGTTCGTCCCTTTTCTCCCTTCCCTTCTCGGGGGTTTGGTGCAGTTGGTGCAAACTCCTGAAATTCCTGAGGGGTGGCTGTGAGGGGACCAAATCCCTGCCTTCATCCCAGGTGCCTGCATCCAGCACCTGGAATATCCCCTCTGTGCTGAGCCACTACCTGGCCCAAACCCCAGCCCCAGCGAAGCTGGGGTGGGCGTGAGAAAGAAGCAGGGGGTAAAGGTGTTCCCTTCATCAGTGGGTGCCATAACAAGTGGCTTGTGACCATGAGAACCAGGAGAGCACAGAGGCAAGACCTGGGGCTCCTGCCTCTGTAGTCAGAGTGTCATCAGCATAGCTAACCACCGACACAGCTAACCACTGACACGGCTGACCACTGGCACAGATTACCCTGGGCTGTAAAAAGACACCTCAATCTGAGAAGTAGAGCAGAAGAAAATGTGTTTTCTTGGGTTTTCTTCATTTTCATGTCTATTCTCCACGCGTCGAGTCATCTTCCTCCCTTCCCTCCTCCTCCTCAGGAATCGCCTGTGGAGGCACCTGGAGAGATGAGGGTTTTTTAGAGAGCCCTGTGCTCTCCCCGTCACCTCCTGCTACCAGGCAGCAGGGTCAGGACTCATCCCACCCAGCCCAGGCAGTGGCACTGGCACAACTGGCAGCAGAGCTCTGAGCCAGGTCCCCAGGCAGCAAATCCTCCTTACCCCACGTACTTCCAGGCTACGGATTGCTCCCGGGATTGACACCTGCAGCTGGGGGAGAGACACCCAGGTCAGTGCACCCCCTCCTCCAGGCGCCCCCAGCCCCCTGGCAGACCCCACTGCTGGGCCAGGCCTGGCAGTGCCCCACGTGCCAGTGGCCCGAGAGGCCTCAGCTTTATGGGCAGAGATGATTTAGTGCCCTGAGGAATATGGCTCTGGAGAAACTGGGACGGCTTCCAACTCTTCCTTTCCCTCCCCTATATATTAACTTTCCATGCATATGAAGCTGAAAGCTCTTCCAATCACCTCTGCAAATATTAATTAATCCTCGCAGCATCCTGAGGACCATTATTCACTCCTATTAAGCAAATATTATTAAATCCTTTTATAAGAGGTGAAGTGACTTTTCTAGGGCTGTGCAGGGCATAAGTAGGAGCGCACAGACTTTCTGTGCTGCAGCCACTGCTGCACAATGGCAAAGCTGCTCACACCTGAACTGGGGAAATGGGACTCTTCTGAGATGCACCAGCACCCAGCAGCTCTGGCTGCACCCCAGAACCTTGAGGATCCCCTTCCCACTCTTGGCCACCAGCCAGGATGGTGTCCCCCTTTCAGCTGCCCTGTTCTGGCTCACGGACACCAGTGGGGACACCCGTAGTGGCACTGGAGACGGACTCACTCTGGAGGAGCCAGTCGATGAAGGTGCTTGGGAATGGGGAATCCTGCAAAAAACAAGGAGGCGTTAGAGTGTGTGAATGTGGAGGGAGGGCAGCAGCTCAGGGACACGGGATGGGACACGGGATGGGACATGAGATGGGACAGGGCTGTACCTGCAGATCCAGCTCCACGGAATGCTCGGACGTCACCGGCAGTTTGGAGAGGGCAGAGTAGATTTTCCCCAGGAGCCCGAAGGAGATGATGCCTGGGGACAGGGAGAGGCCGTCAGGGCTGGGCAGAGCTGGCTGTGGGTCCCAGAGCCTGCCGGCACCCTCTGTCTGGTAGAGGATGGGAGAACATCGTCCTGCCCATCACGGAGTAAAACCCCTCGTCCTTCCTGTGGATCTCAGACCTCCCGGGGTTCAAAGGTTCCCATGAAAGCTGCTGCCCAGGAACTCCCAGATGCAGGTCCCACCACAAGGGGAACGCTGGGGGTAAACGGGGACAGCTCTGCTTGCAGTGAAGCAGCAATCATGTCTGTGTGAGATTAGACATGAACAGATCTGAGGAGGGAAAACCCCACTGGTTCTGCGGGGCTGCAGCTGGGGGTCCTGGCAGAGCCACCTCTTGGCGGCAGCTTCAGTCTGTCCCTGGTTGGACAAACATCCATGAGAAGAGCGGGACTGTGGTGTTTGGCAGTGGTGGTGAGCCGGGACTGCTGCCCATGGAGGTGACTGGACACACAAAACCCAAGTGTCACTCAATACAGAAAAGAAAATTTAATGACTTACGGAGGAATTGTAGTTTAATGTTGATGATTCTGACCCAGCCATTCACTAACGGGCAGAACTGCAAGGGCAAAGAGTGGCACAGCCTTGGTGAGAACACTGTGGGTGCAGCAGCGCATCCCCCAGCACGGCTTGATTTTCACAGACTTAAATCAGGATGGAACAATCGGCTCCCAGAGCACAGTTCCTCCGCGGAGAAAGAGCCACATGACTTTGTTCAGCCCTCTTCTTAAAACAGCACAGGCTCTACTGAACAGGATAAGAGATTCTTTAACAGGCCCCTTTGCTCTAAGCGGGGCTGTTTCTTCTGTTCATCCCCCCACCCCCAGGGAGCAGATGAGTACAAATTATCCCATAACATTGCATGATGGAATTGAAATTACTCCTGACAAATAAATTCTGACTGTAAGGAAGATCAAGGAATTTTGTGGAATTCACTTATGGGCTGCAGGCATAAATATATATTGTATATATATTGTGGATATATATCATCCCTGACCACGGGAGGGGGGTTGGAATAACTAATATTTAAGGTCCTTTCCAACCCAAGCCATTCCGTGATCCTCTGTGTGCGTGTATGTAAATCTTCCAGAGAGTTCTGGCAGGAGCACTGATTGCAGCTGAAATGCATCTTCACAGCAAAGAACATTCAGACACTCACCAGCGCAGGGACAAGGGACTTGAGAGTAGAATTCAGCAATCTGCTCACCAGGTTGGTGAGGAGGCTGGGGAGGGAAAGGGCACACAAAAATTACCAGGGAAGTTGTCAGAGCCTAGGACTTGACATCAGGACAAAACAGCAGCTGTGGAGGAGCCCCCCTTGTCTTCTCTCCTCTTTTGTTAAAAGACGCCGCGAGCACACAGCTCCCCCAGGCTTCAGCAGGAACTACAGATGCTCGGGACTTGGTTATCTGAATCCCATAATCTGGTTGTTCTGGGAAGTTCTACCCCAGTGCAAACTCGCAGGACCTCACCCACACACTCACCCCTTCCGCAGGTTGACGCTGAAGCCGCCGAGCAGGTTGTTGCAATCCTTAATCGCCAGCTTGAGGTTCCCGGGGGTGTCCTGGGTCAAGGCAATGTGTGACGTGATGTTCGTCTCTACCGAGGATCCACTCAGGAAGTTAAAAATCCTGGAAAAAAAAAGGGAAGCACCGTGGAGGGTTGTGGGGGAAAGAGAAGCAGGTGGAGCTGCAAGCACAGGCTCGGCTGGGACAGTCAACCCGGCAGCATCACTGTGTCACCACTAAACATGTACTCTAGAGCCACATCCACGGGACTTTTGAACACTTCCAGGGGTGGCAATAGCACCTTTGGAGTAAGGACAGCTGGAAATGGCTGCAGGAAGAGGCAGCAGTGCAGCCCAGAGCTTTCCTCACCTGCCCATTTGCTCAGCATTTGGGGGTGTTCCTCCAGCACCAGGGAGTGTCCCACCCTCCCCAGTGCCCTCAGGCCCCCATGGCCTCAATCTCCAGCCCTGCTCACCCTGGAAAGCGGAGCACCAGCTTCGAGTACAGGTTCAGCACCAGCTCCTTCCCATGAAGGACCTTCCATGACACTCGGGCATTCTCGAGGTTCAGCACCTTCAACCTGGGGGTCAACACCGAATCAAACCCACCTTGAGATGGCAGGATCAGCAGGAGCAGACCCTACAGTCCCATCTCTTCCTGCTCATTGTCTGACCTGTTACCCATTTGGATATTCTCAGGTAAAAGTGAAGGTGGGGAAGGACCAAATCCCTCATCCAAGAAAAGCCAATCTCAAAGCAAGGTCAGGTTTCTCAGAGCTGTGTCCTGCTGGGTCTTAACCACCTCCAAGGGTGGAGATTCCCCTACCTCCCAGACTGCCCATCACAGTGTCACAGCACTCCCACGGGGAAGACTTTTCCCATTTCTGGTTGGAATTTCCCCTGTCACAGATCCTCACGTGAGCACTGGCGGTTTGTATGACAGGGAGGGTCTGATCCCCTGGACACTACTGGTCACCCTGCAGTGAGCCCCACCACGGGGTTTCTGACTCACCAGGCGAAGAATGACATCTTCTGAGAGGTTCCACCACCCAGCAGGTCTCCTGCACCCAGAAGTCCTCCTGCTTCACCCAGAAGACCATCGAGACCAAGTAGACTTCCATTGCCTAGGAGACCTCCTTTCCCAAGCAGCCCTGTGCCAAGCAGACCTTTATCTCCAAGAAGGCTGTTATTGCTGAGGAGGCCATTGCCAAGGAGACCGTTGTTGAGGAGACCATTGCCAAGTCCTTCCCCACCAAGAATGCCTTTACCAAGTCCTTCTCCACCGAGGATGCTGTTGCCAAGTCCTTCCCCACCAAGAATGCCTTTGCCAAGTCCTTCCCCACCAAGAATGCCTTTGCCAAGTCCTTCCCCACCAAGAATGCCTTTACCAAGTCCTTCTCCACCGAGGATGCTGTTGCCAAGTCCTTCTCCACCGAGGATATTGTTGCCAAGTCCTTCCCCACCGAGGATTCCTGTGCCAAGCAGACCGCTGCTGCCAGGTTGTCCTCCTGCAACGGGCAGAACTCTGTTACTGTCCTGGCTATCCCTGCCCAGAAACCTTCCTCTCCCAAGCACATCCATGCCAAGCAGACCTTCCTCACCTAGGAGGCCTGTGCCGAGGACCCCAGATCTGCTGGGTTCATTTGCTGCTTCAAGGGGACCTCCGCTTGGACTTCCCTTGCCCAGGAGGCCAGTGCCAAGCAGTCCACCTTCACCAAGAACACCCGTGCCAAGCAATCCGCTTTTTCCACCAGTGCCAAGCAGACCTGCACCAAGGGAGTCCCAGTTACTAATTAGACTTGCACCACTGGGAAGATTCTTTTGACAAGGAAGGTGGGTTTGGCCATGTTAGGTTGCTCTGCTGGTGAGATCTCACAGAGACCCCTGAGCATCCCTGAGCAAAGTTGAGTTCCCCATAGAGATGAGCCTGACAGGAGGCAGCTCCCTGATGATCAGAGGGAGCCCAGAATGGCACAAGACTGTGCCATGAACCTCCCCTGGAAACACAGAAAATATCTGAACTCACCACCTATGGCTTGCTTTGGGTTCAGCAGGTTGAGGAGGCCCTGAGAGGGGGGCAGGAGGCCCCCGAGAAGGATGAGACACAAGAAGGTTGGCATCTCCTGACCCAGCACCTATGGAAAGACCCACATCAGCCCACACACCAGTTCCAGCACATGGGTACAGGCAGCCTGGGTACAGATACAGCTCCCCATCCTTCACATGCGCTGCCCTGGGGTGATGGGGGAGGTTCCCCCTGGACATACAGCTTCCAGAAACCATCCCTTCAGTCCCCAGGGGATCAGTCCAGGCCTACAGCACCTTCTTCCCAACCAGGAAGGTTGAACCACTACTGTTTGTCATCAGGGAGTAGCTGGAGACCAGTGCCACACTGCTCCAGAGCCATCGACGTCTGGGCTCCCACACTGCAGAGCTGGGTGCCTGATTCCGCAGGGAAGTGAAAATGCCATTTTAAGAGAGGAAGAGGGATGGAGATGAGGGAGGAGGACCTTGTGCTGAGAGAGATGGATGGCTTTCAACCGCTCCGAAATGGCCCTGAAAGCGGAACTCTCAGAGGGGCACGGCTGGATAAAAAATGACGAGCGTCTCAGCCATGTCCTTCTGCCCACCGTGAAGAGCACCCTGGGTTATTAAAGCCCAAAGCACAGCCAGAATCAGACTCACTTTCCTGTGGCCAGATTGTTTGTTTTTCTCATCTTGCTTCACTCAGGCAGTGAAAAGAGCCCGTTTTCCCTGTGTTTGATCTACCCCGAGCCAAAAGAACAAAGCACCTTCAAGGACCTCCTGTTCCTGCCCAAACTCGGCCTCTCGGGGTGACAATGCAGGCTGGGCAGTGTTTGTTTATGCACGGAAAGGTGTTTGCAAAGAAAGGAGAAGAGGGTCCTGCTGCAGCACTGCTGTGGGTCCCAGCTCCAGGAGCTCCTTCACAGCCCGTGTCCCAGATGGAAACCCCGCCTTGTCCCTCCTGAGGAAAACAACGCACGAGGTGCAGGTGGCAGAGGTTCAGCATTGAGAAATAACATTATTTAGGTCAGACTGAACAACTTCTTTATCTCTTCCAGATACTTTTAAAAAAATCCCTCTATGACAGTTCTCTGCACAATTAAATTAGACTTTAATTCACTCGACTGTCTTTTACATTTTCCCTTTGATCAGCACGTAATGATGCACAGCTCCTGTAGCCACGATTATTGAACAGGAGAGAAGGAGAGAGGCTCGAGCAGCTTCTATTGAAAATCGTGTCAAATAAAATCAGTGGGATTTGTTGGAGGGGCTCTGCGAGACGTGCACAGCATTGCAAGAGGGTGCCAAAATGGATGTCAGGGCTCTTAGAGGAGCTCTTAGAGAGAATACGTGACCAAGCAGGCAGCTATCTCTGCGGTTATTAACAATATCTATCGGGGTGCTGCTCCTCGGTCACACACATTTCAGCGAGCTGAGCATCTTGCACATGCAAAAGGCACGTCTGGCTTTGCAGATAAACACTTATTTTACACCAGCTGAGACGAGGTCTGGAAAGCTGAAAATTGCTCTGAATTCTGGTCACCGAGACCATGAAAAAGACTCCCAGTCCTTTTCTGCCAGCTTAGTCATTATCACAAACTTAACAACAACAGGAATAAATGTGGAGTTTAACAAGGAAGAGCTCTGCTAGCTTTAAAAATTAATTTTCATAAATGATTAAATGCTGCTACAGAAATCAAAGGAAAACATCATTAAAATTCCTGCTTCTCAAGCCGAGTTACACTGCGCCGTAGGTTGCCTGATGGAGCCGGCACGGTGGCCACGCTCCTTCAGTGCCACTTACCTGGACCCTTTGATGTCACAGTGGAGCTGCCCACGGTCACAGCTGCTGGCAGTGGCTTTTATATACCCGAGGTGAGGAATGAGGAAAGCCCAGGGAAGGATGGAGTGGGGACATTTCCTCTTTGCTGGCTGTGAAGTGTGACTCCTGCACCACCTTGACCCCGAGTGCTGCATGTAGCAGTGCCAGGCTGTGGTCAGCAGCATCCAGCCAGCCTGGCAGCTCAACCCCTCG